GCCCAATCTTCTGGACACTCTAGCTGGAGGGTTGCCCACACTTCGAAAAATCCTGGATACGCCATTGCATGACTGCCCATAGGATTTTTTTGATACCAAAAATTTCCTTTGAACGTATTCAAATCGACATTTCGAACGTTTAATACATGTGAACATATTAATTAAATTAAAAAATAATTTCAACGCCTTCGCAAGCGTTAAAAGTTAATGCATTTTGAAGCCTTAACTATTTTAATTTTTCTAATGCATTTTTACAGATTCGACATCTCCAAATGCCTTATTAACTAACGCATTTAAACTTCTTACATTTTTTCACATGTTCAAATGTATTAAAAAGATTCATTAAAATTTAATATGTTCATAGGTTCTAACAGGGACTTAATGAATTCACAGGAGTTAAAAATTAATTCATGTGAATGGATTAATGCTTTTTCGGACGTTTAATACGTTTGAACGCATTAAATGAATTGAAAAAACTTTTAACGACTTCACATGCCTTAAAAATTAATGCATTTAGGAGCCTTAACTTTTTTAATTTTTACTAATGTCTTAAAAGCTATAGCTTTTCGGCTCATTCAGACAAGTTAAAATTTTTTTATCGTTATTGAACAAATCGGAAGAAACTCGTACGTGATCTTAGATTACTTTTCCAATAAATGTTTTGAAGTTTTTAAAGTGTGTCATCTTCTTATTTAAACGTGTGGAAAAGTTTAGTTATTTTTACTCAATAACTAACTGTTTCTTGTTCAAGATATCAACTTCTTGGATTCGACAATACCATCCATACCAAATTTTTTTAACGATTTCTGCAGAAATGTGCGTTTTATGGCACTGTTTTGGCCACTCAAGCGCAATACCAGAAAACGCATAGAAGAACTATGCGTTTTTGATAGTTCTTACTTCTCAGATGCGTTTTCTTGCGCTGTATTTTTACCACGCAAAAATAAACAAGAAAACGATAGCTTTTTGCCTTTTATCGCAGTTATAAAGAGGATGAATCAAAACTATGTAGAAAAAATCTCAAAATGAATCAATGAAGAAAGGATCTGTGAGCAGCTGTCTAATGTTGACACCAACAGACTTTTTCTCTAATCAGGATGGGAAATCCATCTAAATTCGTTTAAAATACTAAATAAAATTGAGACGCCTCTAAACTATAATATAGCCACCAGAAGGTAAGAGTCAAATATTCGGGTCTCAATATCTCAACGCAGGAAAACTCATTAGCACCGAATATTTTTCCATCGTACTACTATGACCATGGGCTACAAGTGTGGCAAGTTTGAAATCATAATTTGAAAGTCGGATTTTGCTCGAAATCCAAGCTCTGTAGACAAAAACTGTTTGTCTCTGCTACAAAAAAAAAATAGTTTCATCTGTTTCCAAAAACATGATAAATTATTTCGAAATTGATGCCTGGAAGACTGTTTTAATCAATTGATCACAACATTCCTTTTAGACTTTGATGACGATGATACTTTAAAGAACTAATAAGATAGTACGTTGTCGAAGAGTTTCAAATAGACTCAGCATCGCATACAGGAGACAGGAATATTTAAATTTCATTTATTTGGAACTTATTGTTTACATTTTTTATCGGAAAAAGCCTTCATATACTCAGTAATTTATTCACCACGTTTCTTGTTTCACAATGTTTCCAGTGCATGAGCAAAGCCAAAGATAAAAAGATTAAATATAAGTATAAGTAGATTTTGATAAGAGGATATTCAACTTTTTCTTTACTCGGCAAGTGAAAAATATATATCACATTTGTTTTTTATTTGAATTTTCAAAGAGTTCATGTACTGGAAAAGATGAACAGTACTAGTGGTAACATATCAACAACGACAACAATAACAACGTTGGACAATGGCGACCATGCATGGGTAAATCGTCTCTTTATTCATCTATTTCATTTGTAGACTTATATACTTGTCATAAATTGTTTTAGATGATGACTTCAGCAGCCCTGGTTTATATGATGACACCTGCACTTGCATTTTTCTATGGTGGTCTTGTAGAAAATAAAAATATTTTAAATCAGTTGTTTTTATCTATCATTTGTATGGGTATTGTTACAGTTCAGTGGTGTTTATTTGGTTATAGTTTTTCATTTGGACCGGGAAATTCAGCGTTTGGTTCATTTGACTTTAGTGGATTACGTTTACCCTTCCATTTTTACGGTGATAACCTAACATTTCCATCATTAACATTCGTATCGTATCAAGCAGCATTCGCGGTCATTACACCAGCTTTAATCAGTGGTGCAATTGTCGGTCGTATGAAATTGCTGCCATATATGTTATTTATTTTCCTGTGGTCAACATTTTGCTATTGTCCATTGGCGCGATGGCTATTTTCTGACTATGGTTGGCTACATCGATATGGAACATTGGACTTTGCAGGTTCAGTTGTATAGAGTAAAATTCTCTTGAATCTTCAAAAAGTGTCGTCTATTTTATCTAGGCGGTTGCGTCGTTCATGTATCAAGTGGAGTTTCAGGAATGGTATGTGCTCTTATTCTTGGTAATCGTGCAGATTTCGATCCAAATAAACCAGAAGTTGCACATAATCTTCCGTTCACTGTTATAGGCACGGTAAGTTTCTATTTTCAAAATCTTATTCTTTCATTTTATTTCATCTATAATTTGAACAATTAGTCGTCCATGTTAATATTTCCCAATAGTCTCCCTTGAATCCTGAACAGTTTTCACACTGATAAGCTAATTGCATAAGGACTGCTTCATAATTGAGAACACTCTTTTTTATGTTTATTAATTAGTTATAGTAGAAAAAACGGTCTCAATTTGAAAAAGATTCCTTGATTTTCCCTGTGAAAAATTGTTTTTTGAGATTTTCAAGCTTCGTTTTAAGTAAAATTTTGAGATCTCTCGTATATGTGAAAATAAAAATGACAATCAACTTTTCTAAAATTGATAATTAATAGAAAAAGATTCTACTACGCACGAGAAACACATCCAGTATTTGTAATGAGTTTCTTGAAGGTAAAGTCTTCTGGATTAAGGAGAAAAACTTTCTTTTGCACTGCAGGGTGTCCTGCTCCACCAGACAGGGCAGGGCAGGACTCAAAATTTGTTTTGAGTAATTTCCTGACAGGGCAGGGCGAAAAATGTTCATACTCATCATCTTTGAAATTAGGATCATTATCTAACACAACTATATAACGATAACTTAATGATCATAATGTTGCTTGATAAGCTTCTAAATCCAGGCTTCCATTGAAATAATTCTACCATCGTTATGACATCATCTTTTATTGTTATTGAACACAAACAAGAAGTACAGATCGATTTTTCAGTTCCGTTTTTATTTGAGCAGTTTAAATGATATAAGTAACTTAAGTTTTATATAATATATCAGCTTAGTTTTTTTCTGTTTTGATACGAGAAAAATGTCGAGTTGTAGACATAATAGGATTTGTAGAGGAAATCGAATTGAAATATTGTGCGTCACAGTAGTCTCTTCACTCTTCATTTTTATAGTCTCATCCGATCCAGTAATGTCGTTCTCAGCTCAATTTAGTTTTAAGCATCAGTTCTGAAAAATATTTCAATCAGTTTCTGTATCTACAGTAGCCAATCATTTCCAATTCACAGAGTGAGTGATTCGAAATCATAAACAGTGTACAAAGTGTGTGAAAAGAACAAATTCTCTATTCCAAATTGAGATCACTTTTTAAATCGAATTAATAATCATAAAAAAAAAGTGGTCTCAATCATGAAGCCTCGTGCATAAGTTTATAAGCAAATTTTGCACGAGACAATTATTCGATTCGCATAGGTGCAGAAATACAATAAAATGATTAAGATTGTGTTATCTGAATGAGTGAGCAGCTAAGAGGACGAATATAGAAAAAGATCCTAATCGTATTTCAAAAATCTACTCAGACATATTATTATTTTCTGTATGCTTTTCCCTGAAATTGAAAAATCACAAATTAAATTTAAATTTGTTGGAAATTTAATTAAATTTAATAGAATAGCACCCAGGAAAAAAAAAACGGGCAATTAACTGCTCATTAACGGCCAGTTTACAGTCTGCTTAAAAACTGCCAGTTGACAACGTGTTAACTGTCTAAAAAACCACCTAAAAACTGTCTAGTTTATTGGCCGTTTTTAGGTCTGCAAAAATACCGTCTAATAACTGCCAGTAAACGGAAAAGCCAAAAAACAGCTAGTTAACTGTGTGGTTAACGGTCCATTGA